AAGGACTACTCTCACCCCAATAATCAACTGTTTGAACTATTACCGTCAGGCTGACGGTACAGGTCACATAAAACCAGGACAAACAGATTCAGGGATAGCTTCTTTCCCAGAGCTATCACCGTAGTAAATAAGCACAAAACAATTGAACCTGCTTAACTATACCATACTTGCCATTGTCACTATATTATGCTGCTATTCATACTATCACTATATTATGCTGCTATCCTGTATATATCGTACTTATTATTGTCTGAGTACTTCGGTTGTTTTATTGTACTTTTTATATTTTACATTTATATTTATTATTGCATTTTGCACCAAAGGACTGGCACTCCAATTTCGTTGTACTTTGTACAATGACAATAAAGGCTGTTCTATTCTATTCTATTTAAGGAAACTAACGAGATCATCCGGATAAGAAGACTGACACATTGGGTGTTTTTTGATTGTTTGTTTTGGTTTCCAGTGCTACGATGCGGTGACGAGATGCCAAACCTGTTACAAAATGTTCCAACCAAAAAAATTCCGATGACTCAAGTGTTGTTTATGTAGTATTTGTCTGTAAGAGTACACCCAATTAATTTGTTCCTTCAAAACCAATTCTGTTCTTTGTCATCAGTGCCAAGTGCAAATCTCCACTGATACTTTTTTTGGCGTGATGTGTTTCAGGGACAGTACTGGGTGTGACTGACTGAAGCTGCCCCGAGCATCTGCCAGTTCATAAAGACTGTTGAGTAAGAGCTCGATCGAACCACATCAAAGCACTGACAATTTAAGACTGCCTCCAGCAGCTCTCATTATAGCTACAACAATAAAGATAGGACATTCAATAACTGCTCCCTGCCACACTCTTTGCCAAAGAGTAGAGGAAATATGAGAAGTTGAATTTACGGGGTCACTCTGACATTTCTTTCTTTTTAATTTCCTCAGTAGTTACTCAAGAGCAGCTGTGCTGTGCGTGTTCATTGCTTGTTATTAGGATGGCAAATAGACTGGGCCTGCCACCACTGGCATCCCGATTCATGATTATACATCACACAAAGCAGCGGTGTCACTCTGACATTTCTTTCTTTTTAATTTCTTCAGTAGTTACTCAAGAGCAGCTGTGCTGTGCGTGTTCATTGCTTGTTATTAGGATGGCAAATAGACTGGCCCTGCTACCACTGGCATCCCAATTCATGATTATACATCACACAAAGCAGCGTAGAGTAATTTTAACAGTTATTGTGGTGTTTTGGATTTAAAGTCAGATTGAGTACATTTAGAAACTCTCACCTCAGTGCACGACACCCCTCGGCCAGACCCGTGACACCGCGGTGAGTTTGGGTGTAAATGAGATTAGGGAAATGAAATTAAGTGGTGCAAAAGTGACGTTCCTCAGGGATCGAGGCAGCAGGTCCCTGGCTGCAACTTTAATTTTGTCAAGCCTGATTCAGGTCCCCGTTCGTGCTCTGTGCAGATTGAATTAAGAGATCCAGCCCACATGAGTCATGTTCTGCTTTGACGAGAAGAAACACTTTTCACGCAAACTGCTAGTGATAATGAATGAGTTGTGTTGATTGCCGCACAATGATGGATGAATACCAACTGTGGTCTTTCTCTTCTGCCACATGTAACCAGATCAGACGCAGCTCAGGCCCAAACCAGAAGTCAGATTTGCCCTTTTGATCTGAGTAACCTGAAAGCTTTATATTTCGTATAATGCACTTACTACGTGAAGTACGAGCTTCTGCGTCTATTAGACGATTGAAACATTATTTGTGTCTTATTAATAGATGGTCTTCCTGTTTCGATGAAGTTGCCTTCCCAATCAAAAAAACACTTAGGTCCTCTCATAGAGGGGTGAGGTGACCCTCAGGAGACAGAGCTGACCATCAAGTGTAAGAGGGCAAGGGCTCTAAAGTGGATGGACTCCATTAGCGGCCTAATCACTTTCTCTTTAACATATTTCCAAGGTGACCATCAGCCATTGACTGACCAAACCAAGGTCAAGAGTCAGAGTTCAGATTGAGTACACATTAGCATGCAGGTGGAGGCTCCAAACACAAGAAACAGTGTTTTTTAGGGACGTGACAACTGTTCTGTGTAGTGGTGGATAGACCAGATTGAACATGCTGAGCACATGACCTCAGTCTCTTTGTGTTATTGTCAATGTTCTTTACAACTAGGGCATCTTTTTTAACAACATAATTTTCTAAAATTTTGGTTCACAATGCACATGGAGCACAAAATATGCACATTACTTTTTAATTTACTTATTAAAAGAAAAAGCTTTATAGAACCAATTCTGTGGGCTTAAATAGCAATGCAATTAAGAGTAAAAAAAGAATGCAAAATGTCAGACATATGGAGATGTTTGCACATATGCTGGTGAAGAATTACCTCCTAAGAATATTGATCCTAGATTTCACATTTCCTCTGCACTTTGCCAAACACTGGTATGGTAAAGAGGTTTTATTGACTGACTTATCTTTATTGTTATTGCCACAGTAAGCGGTAAATCATGCAGTCATCTGCTTTGAATGCTATGAGTCCATTAAATGTTATCTGTTACCAGTTGTCGTAGCTCCCATAATTATACTTTAGATTAAGCACACAGCGTGTGATTGCCGATGACTTCGTGTGACTCAGGCTGTCTTGAGTTTGTGTAATTAAATGCATGGAAAAACTAATCAGGTGGCGTACAGCCCAGCGTTAGACCAAAGCCTGCAGGCTTTGGTCTAACGCTGGGCTGTACGCCTAGACCTCAGATCCATGTCAGTGTCATTTTTTCCTTAGCTTAAGTGTGAAAACAACATACTACAATAACTACTTATCCCAAGTAGTTTTGATGCTTAAACCTAACCAAGCACAAAAATGAATAAAAACTCAAGAATGAAAGAACTTTATGATAAAGGCCTGCTGTGCCAGCTGGAGAAGGATGCACCCAACAGGTATTAGTGTCTTCAAATCCTAACATGCCAAGAAGTAGAGGTCCAGCCTTACTTATACGTTGAAGAATAGACTGGAAGAAGAATAAAAAAAAAAGAAGAAACTGAATGCTGTGCAAACAGAAACTCTCGATTCAATTAGCCTCTCTTTCTTTATTAAACTCATGAATAGTAAAAATTAAAAGCATGTTGGGTGTGGACTGAAGGGAAACGAGTACTCATATTTTCTGAGTCATCGCGGTCATCTGACATGTTTGTCTGGAACAGCTTGTACCAGGACTGCACAGTACCAGGTTTCTGTGTACCACATGTGACCACATGTGGTGTAGAAAACCACTGACAAACACTGACTCTGTCTTGTTTATCTGGATAATCTCATTAGTTTTGATGAAAACGCCGCATCTCAGACAACACTGATAGCTCGCTTTGCTTTACAGTTTTTCCGCAAACAGTGTCTTATTGGGCCACTGTATGGTCAACCCCGGCTTATCATTTGGGTGATGCTCTTTCAGGTACTATCGTTGTACCTTGGACAGTGGTTTGTGCCTAACAGAGACCATCGCTGAATCTCGAGGAACACTTTTGTTCTTTGATGTAATGCTGGAAAAATTTACCATAGTAACAACAATAGAAAGTGCATGCTGGGCGCAGGGGTAATCACTTATTTATAATATTTTCCTCATTATGCATTTATAAACTTGTCCATACACCAGATATATGTGGAGTATATATGTATACTTTTTTAGTCTTACTGTCATGGTCCTGGGTCATTTTGACCCAGTGTTCTCAGTTTTCCTGTGGTTTTGTATTTTGTTCCTTATGTTCATTGGATTGTTTGGTTTGGTATTTGGATTCCCCCCGTGTCCATGCTTTTATTGTGGTGTTTGTTCTGGTACCGTGTTCCCGTCCTTTGTGTTCTGTGTTCTCCTCAGCCCCTCGTGTATTTATCCTTGTTCTCTGCCTCTCTCTCTCTGCCTCTCTCTCTGTGCTCATCTCTGTGTACTGTGTTGTGTTTAAGGTCCACATCTCGGTGTCAGTATTTTCAGTTTTGTGTCCTCCCCGTCAGAATACACTAAGTATGTTCATTTATAAGTTGAAGACTTGTTCATTATTATTATTTGTACCTAATCTCCTTTTCTGTAGGACTAAATTCTGACGATCTGCTGACATGACAACTTAAAAGTCTTGAACAAACTGTGAAAATATGCAGCCTTTACTGCTTTGCTACCTTTTTTGGCACTTGGAAAACATAATTTACGGTTCAGTAATTCATCCGAGGGAGAGCTTGCACTTGTATTGACAGAAATGGACTTTCACTGAAACCTTTATCTCTGAGAACAGAGTTATGTAATGAGTTCTAGGAAAGCAGAGCAGTACGACAGAACTGTGGCTTGTTTATCCATGAAAGAAGGAGCCCAGACAGGGAAAGAAACCCTATCTGCACCCCACCTGCCCGCAGAGCCCCTAACGCTCCCTCTATACTGTAAGGACTGTGGGTCCTCTATAATAGCTTATGTGCACTCTGGTAAACAGATTATTCCCAACGCCAACACCACTGAACATTGCACCATGTTTATCAGTATTTTGCTATTTTTCACCGTCAGTTTTCTTTACGACAGTTAAAAGACTTTATGAGGTTTTACAAAATGAGATGCTAATGCATTTTGTGTGTTTGAGGAATGCCTTGAATTACAAAAATGACCCTTTAAAGCTGGACCAACCCCTGTGCTTGGAACAATTTAAGAGGCATAAAACTGGGAGCAGCAAGGAAAATAGTTTTAAAGCATTCTATAAGTCACAAGAACCTGCATAGAGAGGCTTTGAAGTTTCTTGCATCCAATATAATACAAATTCACAAAGGAGCGTCTTAAAGATTCTTGGCCCATGCTTTTAACAGCTCTCTGAGGAAAAGTCAGCAATTTCACAATGCCAGAGGCGGCTTTCTTTGGCGATATGATGTGGGAATATGAATCAGGAGAGTCTGTATGCACGGACAAAATGTAAGAGATGTATATGAGACTAGATAAACAGGGAAGGCAATCCCGAACACAATTTTCTCATACAGATTTGTATGTTTTTATTCAAAAACTTTATTTACAAAATGTGCATTAACATTTCATAATATTAACAAGGTTACAATATCTTAACATATCGTAAAAATGTCAGACCTTATCTGTGGATAGTGTGGAATCTTAAAAACATGACCTGCTGATTTTTGTGTGCAAGATGAAATACAATGAGAATCGCCTGCATATTAAAGTGTACAGTTGAAAAATGAGATGAGATGAGAATGTCATAGATTTCCGAGTGACATGAGATAGTTTTCTCCCTTTTAGTTGAAACCAAATAAAGTATTTCCTTTTTAAGCACCATTTACCCTTGAAATATTTACCAAGACTTAATTTGTTTTTCCACTAAAATGGAAATTTATTTTCATAAAAAGCGGAGTTTACTCTTTATATAACTTCCAGCAGCAGGGATTTCCTGTCGTTGGATCTGAGCTCTCTGCAGTTGCTGAAAATGTTCAAAACAGCTGTCTCGATAGAGAAAAGGTGCTCATCCGCCACCTCCGGACAGTGGTGCCTCATAAATTCTGCAAGGCGGACCAGGTACTCAATGTTGCGGCCGGTGTTGCCTCTGCAGATGGCAATCTGGGCGGCAATCTCCACGTCCGAGGCCGGCCCCAGGTACATGGGGTTGTCAGGTGTGGCGATGTACACAAGGGACAACACTGAACCATGACCGTCTTTAGGGATGAATTCCACCATCTCTGTTATGTACCCGCCCTGGACAACCTCTCTCATGTTTAAATACTGAAGAGACGCTTCGACCTGGCACTCGGTCACTTCATAGGCCACGCCCCACGTGCAAGCCTGCAGAGTACAAACAGGTGGAGGTTGATACACTAGTTTGAAACACTTGCAAGACTTGACTTTGTGAACATATACAGAGAGAAAAACCTAAAAATTAAACGACAGTGTTTTGGTTTGTCAAATAACATTGATTGAGCCTACAGGATAAGATAAGATAAGATAACCTTTATTAGTCCCACACGTAGGAAATTTGTTATTTGTTATTCAAAGTCCAGTTTTTGCTTGACCCAGTGCCAGAATTTAATAGAAATTAGAACATTAAACTGTAGAACAAACAGTAGACAACCAGTAAATAATGGGTTTAACATTTTTCCCTGTTTATCATGCCACAGTTACAGTTTATTGCAACACATCACACAAAAACTCATAATCAGAAAGGTGGAGACTGGCCGGTTAGCTAATTATTTTCTGGGCTCTTCGTGGTAGGAACAGAGTTATTACTTGTTATTTGTTTTTATTTGTCACTTTTATTGCAAAACATCTGAGAAGACCAGTGATTCACAGTCAGACATTCCAGTTTGAGTAAACAACACAGCCTCATCGGGCTTGTTGTGCTGACATTGAAAAAAAAAGAAGAAGAAGAAGATATTTTTAACTTCACACATCTGATTTTAGTTCCTTTTAAAGTCTTTTTTCCAAACCTAGTTTTACTTTTACTTTTTAAGGATTATAGAACTTCTGAATCCACTGCTTTACTTACACATTCAATATTTAAGTGGTTCACTCACCTCCTCATCTGCTATTAGTGTGACAACTCTGGCTGGCTGTAGAGAGCAAAAACACCGACAGTGAGAACTCAACAACCAACAAGAAAATGCTTCATACTTCACAACAACATACATCTAAAAATTCGAACTCCTAAAGGATCAGAATCAGCAGGAAATACTTGTGTTCCAGGTGTGGCTGCAAATCTCACCTTTTCCTTGTCCCCTCGATGAAAGTCATCTCCGTGCCAGAACCGTCTCTTGTATCCTCTAATGTACCCTATTTTTCTTCTCTTGTATTCAAAATCGGGTTTCCACACTAGGGAGCCATAGCCAAATATCCACAGGCTGCTCTTTTCCTTTATAATGTCCTGAGGTTTCATTGTAGGCACTTAACTTCGTTTGGGAAGAGATAAAAAAAAAGTCCACAAGTAGCTGCTCGATGTTATTTCCAGTCTTCTACGACCTCATAGAGTCTCATACATCGGGCTGCTCCTATATATAGCTATATAGATAAATAAAGCACTGAAAGGAGGAACCATCTTTCACGTCACAATGAAGCGAGGCATCAGTAATTAGTGGGTGTCATCAAAATGCAAATACTCTACATTTCTCCTTAGTATACCGACGTGCGCACACCTGTATTTGTTGATCAAAGTACGTCAGAGAGACACGACCTTGGCCAATTAAATAGAAGGGGCGGGGCTCTTTTGTGGCGACGCCTCGCCTAAGTTTTGAGTCGTTGCGCATGAGAACACTCAAGCACCCGGGGCAGGGAAATAAGAAGAATAAGCAGATATATTTTAAAGAGAAGAAGAAGAAAGAAACTGTCTTTGTTTCTAACGTTTTAATCTTTATGAGCACTTTAAATATACAGCATAGGGTCAAACTCATAGTGCAGAGGTAATCACATTACCTATAAATAGCCGGGACTGTTATATCTGTGCTCTCTTAAGCTCATTAGGTGTCTGTGTTCTCTATAGACGAGCTTAACACCGCAGTGGCTGATAACTGAGATCAGTTTGTCCTCTGTAAGTCGGCGAGGATGATATTTGATGGGTTAAGGAAGGAGAGAACTACTTTCTTGTTACTTCACATAAAACCTACTGCCACCAGGTGGTTGGGAAAGACATGGCTCTTTACTTGAGAGAAACATCAGCCCGGTGCTTTGATATTGGCTGAAGGCTGGGTTAAGTAAGTAAAGTGTTAGATCTCCAAAGAGACGGTGCAATTGTTATTAGTCCCTGTGTGCATCATGGAGCCTTGGCTGTGGGGCCCTTTGTTTGCTGTGATCATGCGCCATTAGTTCGAGGACATATAGATTTTCTCCGCGCACTACTTTTGCTGTGTTTCTCACACCTTTCACCTTTCAGTCAGCTACAAGAATCAATTATTGATCATTATAGACGCAGATATCAAGAGATGCAGCAGTTCCAAGATTATTTAAGCAGAAAAGACAACAAGGACTCTTTATTATGACATACAGACTTTTAAATATATATATATATATCTTTTTGTTTGAGTATTTTCTTACATTTCCTGCCAATTACAATGCTGCCCACTGAATGATTGCTAGCACAATGATTTCATATCACGCAGACACAGATCTCATAGACATAGTATCATCAGAAGAAGCTACCAGGCCAAATATTACTGCATCTATAGACAATGAAGTCACTTTCACACCAGGCGACACAAATAAAGCTTCTAGATGATTCCAACATTTAATTTAGGATCTCTATTCGACCAGATGGACACTCAACCGACGAAGACCGACAAACAAACAGTGTACCAGATATGTAGTTCTTGTTTCTTTTCATAGCAAAAATAATAACAATACAATAAAAACACCAAAACAAAAACACTTTAAAAATATATTCACCTTTGCGAGGCATCAACTTAAAAACAGATGTACAAGTCATACTTCTAATCTCAACATATAAATATACACTATATACAAAATAATCTTATAAAACATAGAAAGAGAAAAATCAGTGCTTCATATACTTAAATTACTAATGAAATACGAATCTTACAAAATAACATTATTGATTCAGTAATTTCCATTGAAGGCGTTCTCGGTACGATAGTCACAACATGTATTTCTTTGTCTTTATTTAAGGGGGATTTTGCATAAGGTAAAACAAGGCCTTATTATGAGTTTTCCCTGCACGGCGCTTTAGCATATTGCATCATTTGATCTTTCACTGTTACCTCCATGGGGTTGTGCAAAGAAATCAAGATAAGCAGGGCACAACATTTCCCTTTAAAAAGGGGGTATAAGGCTTTGTGATCAAGGCTGAATACATTCTTTATAAAACGGATTGAATTTTCAAACGATAATCCTAAACATCTCTCAAAAATGAACCGTTTTCAGTAGTTTTCTTTGTTTTTTCAGTCCCTTTTTCTTTTCTTCTTTAGCACAATGCTGGTTTTTGTTTGCATAGCGCGTCGCAGGTCAGATGAAATGGGAAAAAAAGCCGGCTCCATCCACATTCCCGTTGGCGGTGAGTTGATTTGTTTGATTGCCGATTACTGCAATAGGATGGAAAGCGTCCATCGGGATAGCCCGCTTCTTCCAATCAGCATGCGGGCACACGCATCTTGGCCCGCTGCCCTCGGAGGAACTTGAACAGAGCGGACGAGGTTGCGAGAGCAAGCCTGATTGGCTCATTATTTCCCTTTTTTTTAAAAAAAAAAGAAATCCCAGTCTTTACATTCGCACATAGATTAGTAGCTTTACTTCTATTGCATTCAGAGAGCACACAAGCTCTATCCAGTTATCAAGTTTTCAAGAGCAGCAACTTGCGTTTAAATAAATCCCAGTCTTTCCACACTTGTAAACAGTCCACAAGAAATCCAATGTTGACGATGAATAATATATTCAATTTATTATACCTGAAAGAGACGGAGTCCAAACATTTAGTGACAATCACAGCAACACGTGCAAGATCTAAATGACCAGTTATTAAAGGGCTGGAACAAGTAAATAGATTTACCTCAGTTGCAATGATGCATTCATTTTTCTCTTCTGCTATTACGAAGACAGACTGGTACATTGAATCTCCAGAAGAACTTATTGTAGATATTCTACACTCTGGTCTCTCACTGTAAAGACACAACATGTCAGGCACACGGCACAAAAACAGTGCATGGTGGTATAAGTCAACATATGCATCTCTTCTCATCCACCTACCTGTACATTCTACTTAAATGTTTCGTGTCTTCTATTGACTTTTCACAGTTTTCATCTTTGTCCACAAGGGACAGTTCATCCTTGTACCTCGCGGAGGGTTTATAGTCCAGGTGGTAGTGGTTGATGTATTTGTGATTAGACTTTTCCCTGGGACAGTCCACCTCCAATTCAAACTTTTTATTGGTGTTCTTGAGCTCTAGAGTAGAGATGAGGTTCTCCTTCTGAAGGTCAACCTTGGAGAGGTTGTTCATGGTGTCCGAGTCCTGCTCCTTATCCTTCTGCTTCTTGATGTGCCCCATCACTGCCACTGCCATGCACAAAAGCAACAGAGCAGCCACTACGCCCACACCCAAAACGATGGCTACCAACTTTTGCTTTTCGCTGGACTCCCAGCTTATTGTGGGGCTGGGGGTGTTGGCTTGATGCTCACTGTTGAACTGGCACTGAGGGCCGCTGTAATGGGCCGGGCAGATGCAGGTGGACTGGCCTTTGGCTCCTGTGGTGCAAGTCCCGCCATTGAGGCAGGGTTGAGAAGCACAGTAGTCTGTGGGCTTGTCGCAGTGGCGGCCTGTATACCCTAGGGGACAGGTGCAGGTGTAGTCGTTAATGCGATCTATGCAGGTGGAGCCGTTTGCGCAGGGGTTTGCGGCGCACTCGTTGACATTGATCTCGCAGCGCGGTCCCGTGAAACCTGAGCGACAGCTGCACACTCGGAGGTTACCGCGGACCACGCAGTGTCCACCTGTGCAAAAAACACCATCATTATTAATTACTGCTGATGTAGAAATACAGCACCATACATGCTTTTGCAGTGATGTGCGTCTGGTCTCTTACCATTGGTGCATTGCAGTGAGGTACATTTGTCCACTTTCTTCTCACAGTTAAGTCCAGTGTATCCTGGTGGACACTCGCATGTGTAACTACGGCCATTATCCCTCTCTTGGCATGTGCCACCTTGGAAGCATGGTTTGTCTGCACAAGTGAGCACCCTGTGTTCACAGTGTTGTCCTTCGAATCCCTGCGGACACTCACACCTATACCCATCCTCAGAGTCCTGCAGGAGAAAAGATATAAAGTTTATCCAAGAAAAAAAAACCTCCATGTCAGACGTTTTTTTTATCACATCCTGTTCACGACTGCCCCAACAAACCCCATTATCCTTAGACCAAATTCTATTTACAGTACATCGTCTGTGAACTGGGTCACCCACTGACTTGACAATCGATAGCATCCTCCTGGACAAGCAGATAGACGGAGGCAAAAACAAAAACAGGAAAGCTTGTGTTGTGGGAAAGGAGAGAGAGAGACTTCCGGACTCACCAGGCAGCGACCTCCGTTGTGGCAGGTCTGCCTGTCACATTCCCTGACCTCCGAGTCGCAGTTAACCCCAGTGAAGCCTGGCAGGCAGGTGCAGGTGTAGCTGCCCTGGCCTGTGTTCAAGCACGTGGCCCCGTTTGCACAGGGTTTATGGTGGGTGCAGTAGTTCAGGTCTGTAAACAAACAGGAGGAAACGTGATTACTGGAACCAAAAGGAGGAATTGGTTCAAATGAGCCACACATTTTCCGCTTTTTGCATTATCCTTTGAGACAAAGACGTCTGGAGTCACTTTCTAATTCACTCACCTTGGTCACAGAAGATGCCCCCCCAGCCTTCTTTGCAATTGCACTGCCAAGCCTCTTTACAGGTACCATGTTTACAGGATGGATGGATTTTACACACATCACAAAAGAGACCCTGCCAGCCCTGTCTGCATCTGTTCACACAAAATATAATAGCTGGATCACACACAAATCAACTTTCATCTGCTCACTCACATACAAGAGCTACAACAAGCCTGACAAAAGGGGAACAATAGTGAAAAAAGGTCCCTTTGTACTTTGAATACTTTATATCTCTCATGAGTAGGGCTGACTTTTATTTACCCTTTTCGTTGGCTAATTGTGGAGGGACAGCAAACCAAAGTGAATACTCACTTGCACTCTCCAGGTAATGTGCAGTTTCCGTTCCTTTCATTGCAGCCTTCAAGACAGATAGCTGAGAGAGATGGGGGGGGGG